TTAAAACAATCTCTTCGAATGAGAAAAAAGTTTCAAGAACACTCAGAAGCCATATATGGAAGGTTTTTCCAAAGCAAAAGCTTAAAAAAATGAAAATTAAACATACATTGATTTAAAAAGTGTAAGTGACGATAATAATGTGAAGCTTTGGAAAAAATGAACCTTCCAGGGACACATTTGGGAAAAGGGTCAATGCAAACAGGTTATCTCATCGTGAAGTTATTTATGCAAAAATCCAAAAGGCATTGTGCCCTGTCAGGTGTGGGAGGAGAGCACTGATCTGGAGGTCCCACTGTGGGCCCAGTGCTTGGTCCTGATGGGAATGCATGAGGAGGTACAGCGAGTCCAGCCTCACTGAGTTGTAATACCCACATGTTGGCATGCATGCATATGGTGCTGAGGGCTTCCAGAACATATAAGGTGGTTCCTACAGCCATCTTTGGGAAAAATTCAGTGTTTGCTTTAAAAATGACAGTGATAAAAGAAAGGCGACTCAATTGTTCAGAGGATGTTCGGGAGTAGTGTGAAAAACACACACGCATCCTATGTTGGAAGTGTAAAATTCCACATACATACAGAAAGTAAAGTTTTCTTCCTCTGGAAACTGACAACTTCCCAATTCTCTGTATCAGTAAACACAGAAAAAGTATAGCACACACAACACAACTTGCTGGATGAAATGGGAAGAGCGACAAAAACCCAGGGTACCAGGTTATCCTCTAGGGCAAAGGTGTTCCGAGAGCCACAGCTACAATGAGAAAAGCTGCACTGCTCCCCAGTGGGCAGGACGTAGGTTGGGCTCGAGCAGTGCCATGTGTTCCCTCAGAGATCTGAATGTGCCTGTGTGGCAGTGAGTGATTTGCCAGCCTTTTTGTGACACCAACAGTTTCTTTCAACCCTGAGTCCTTGCTAGATTGAACCTTTCGAGTCCTTCTATCACATTTCACTCTGAGGGGAAAAAAAAAACACCTGTGTGACGTGTAGCAGGTACAGAGAGTCTTGTGGAAGTGCAGACACACTGCAGTGCACAGAGAGGTGACGCAGCACGTGGGCACAGCAGGCACTAGGGCATCCCAGCATCCCAGCATCATGTCTCCTGTTCTCAGCTGCACTCCCGAGGTCTGATGCTTCTGAGCTGCACATGAATATGTGAATCATCAGTGCAGCTCCTCGACTGCAGAGCCTGTCTGACACTTGTAGGATTTACTGTTTGTCCTACACTGAGTGTATATGTGATGGGTCAGCTGTGGAGCACATATAACTTGAAGTTGTGAGGTGCATATGTATTATGACTAATTAACATGCATGAATTAATTGCTATCAAGACTAAGAACTGAGTAAGATGAATAAACACAAAGAATGTGCATTTGCTTTCCTATACAAAGCAATATTTTTTGGTCTTATTCTCGTTAGGATTTAATTTTTTGTTTGTTTATTTTAAGAGCAACTAATGCACTTAGTGTAAAACAGAAGATTACACTTGGGCTTGGAGCAATATGCTGCCTGTCAGACTCTGACACAACCTCAAGAAACTGCATGGATTTCAGGTTTAAACAGACCTCCTGAAGAGATTATAAAAAGATTTTCAAAGGGTTGTTCCACACTCACTGAATTTCTCCTCTCCAGGACGATAAAAATAAAACATGTCCTGTTTTCAGAAAACTTTGATAGCTTTCATGATGTTTTCCTAAAAATATCTATTTCCTTTGTATTACTTAAGAGTGTAACTCTCCCATATGGCAGAGGCTACAGCTGCTACAAATAGCTTAAAAACAAGGAAAGGGAGAAATTGGTTTTGGGGCTGTTTTTTTTGCACAGCTCGGTAATATTACTTCATTGTTTGTACTGAGTTTGGCTGCCCATTCTTCAGAAACGGTGGATTTAAAGAGAGTTTCTTGTTTTTGAGGTTTAGGCACATATTTATGTGAAGGTGCTAAACTTCCTGATGGCATGCAGTCAGGCTCACTATCTTTTCTTCATTTCCCTACGGAAGTGTGAGCGTATGCGTCAGCGAACATCACAGAGGTGTGTACAGACTACATTATTTAAAGCTTTCCAGCTGAATTTACAGTTGCATTTGCTGTCTGCATGATTGTCACTCTTCGTAGCACTGGGGATGTTTGAAAATATTGCAGAAGTTTATAAAGGCATCTGTACGGCCCTAAGTTAGCAGCAGATATTTATAAAGAAATTTAGAGCATGAGGGAGTCCTGTGCAATGCTTAAAACCTGGGAAAAGGTGATGGGAAGGAAACTCTTATCAATGGAAGGAGAATGTGATCCGGTTTTGCAGCTCCTACATTTTTAAAAATAACACAAAACCAAAAGGCATATGCAGTAGGAGCAGGAATGACAGCAACAGTGATGTAAACTAGCATTCACAGAAATCTTTTAGAAAAGGCCAAATATTTGAAGTGCTGCACTCAGGGATAAAGCTTCTGCTGCTTCTACCGTGGCAGACTGGGGTACACGATCACCGTCACACAGCGGTTCCTGACCGCAGCCACTTCAGTCCCCACTGATGAAGAAAGGATACATTTCTAACTTAATCCAGACTGGCACATGGTAAAGCCATCTGGGAGGATATTTTGAAGGAAACAGATGGAAAAGGAAGAGATTCCTCTGTATGTAGAGTAAGATTTACATTATCCTCCATGAACTTCCATGTAGTCCCCATGTTTATATAATTTATCATTATTTCCTTAGACAGCTCAGATTAGGAAGCCTGCATGAGCTCATGTTCGTGTTGTTAATTCTGAGACTGAACCTCCCTCCTTTAAAGGGAAAATTGGTAGTGTAAAAGAGAATGGAGAAAAGCTACAGGACTGCAGTGCAGCCCAGCGTCATGAAGCTCCTGGCTGTCCCAGGAATTACACTGCTTTACCTCCTTCTCCCAGCCTCAGGAAGATGCTGCCACGAGTGCTTGCTCTCAGCCATAAGTTTATTCCCCATCATGCACCCACAGCCAGCAAAACCACAGTGTTGTGTAAGCAGGAGTGTGGGATCAGGGCCTAGCTAGACCAGGAAGGGTTAAAGACGAGTCAGTGATTTCACTGAAAATCCCTCAGGCCAAGGATTAAAGAAAAGAAATGTTCTCTGAGTGAAGACATGGCACACAAATAATTTAAAGACTAATTCCACTAGTCCTGTTGTGATGACTAGGGATTGCTAAAAAGCCCTCTCACTCCTTTTATGTGTCCTTTCATGCCTTCTAGTTTTCTATGCAAATGCTTCCATTACTAATGGGGATGTCAGAGGGTTCCGCCTCTTGCTCTCTGACCAGGGAGATGCAGCAGCGGCTGCACCCGGCTGGCTGAAACACCCATGGCATGACAACCACAGCCACTGCTCTGGGAAAGGAAGGATGGGAAGATCCATCCTGGGAATCTCAGTGCTTCCGTTCAAACTCCTAGATCATTAAAGCTGCCATTACTTTGTTCTTCTATCAGAATATGGGAGTCCAGCGCCCCGTTTCATCCTCCAGCACCCCAGCTCAGCCTTGGTCCCAGGCACTCCTTCCCTTTCTGTGCCAGGGCTCACACTCCATTACCACTCAGACAGCCTCCATCTCTGCCTCCCGGATTTGGCCTCCCTTGCACAGCACGGTTTGAGCCTCCTGCATCCCCAGTGCCATGGAGGAAAGGGCTGGCTCTGTGCCTGCCAGCAGATTTACTACCAGGCTATCCGAGGAACAGCATGACTGCAGCCCTCACAGTTGAAGGATGTAAGTGAGACCAGGGAGAGGAAATATCTTTTATTAGAACAACTCAGTGTGTTTTGAATTGTGTGTTGTAGTCAGAAGGCTGTAGATGGTGAGTCCTCAGGGACTGGTGCTGCATTTCTTCTGTGAACTGGCCTAATAAAAGACATTACCTCTCCTTGCAAAACTTACCTCACTTGAAGACACTGCAACACTCATCTTGAACGTTATCTCTGCTATTAGGAGGCATTAGTATTGTTGCCAGTGCCACTGATTCACCACTGCTGTGAGCGTATTGATTTCTTCTGTAGAAACTTGATTCCTACACATACTTTAGGGAGTTACATCATTTCACCCCTTCAAATCACAGCTAGGATGTTTTCTGTTTCTTATGTAACAGCTCTTAATTCAGATTGCAGTAGACATTACTATAATGCACACTGTACAATAATGTATTAAAACCATAAGGTGGAAAAATGAAAGTATTATTCCCTTCTGAAAGCAGACTTCTCTCCAGAAAAGCAATAGCCCATTCTGCTCCTGACTCAGCAATCATTCATATTCACCAAGGAACAGTAGTTCTGCCCCATGGAGCCTGCCAAGTAGGGATGGACAGACTTGCTCCCATGCCCACACCTCTTCCCTGCTGGAGCATATGTAACAAAGTTACGTAAGAGTTAGTGGAGTTTTGTTTCATTTTGATTTTCTCTTTGCTTTTTTGTTTTTTACATGAATGTCCTGGCGAAATAAAATGGAAGAAGCCATGAAACCAGTGTGTTTGACTGGTTTCATTACAACTTACCTAAGATATTAAAGAACAATACCATTCAACAGAATATCTTCAAATGTGTTAGTCTTAAAGATGAATCCAGTTTAATTATCAAGTTCAGCCTATTTTACTCAGGATTTAGAGACTCATTCAGACCAGTGGAGAGAATGATTTCACACCTATGTCCCTCCTTCCTTTAAGCAGACATCAGTTACTCAGGTTCAGGGCACACACAGATACAAGTCAGACTTGCACTAGATGCATGTGGCTGTGTTGCCATTAGCACTTGGCAACTGCAGGAGGACATGTCCTAGCAAGCACTCTGGTTGTAGCTCTATTGCTGCCTCCTCTCCTTCCCGAGGGCTACTGCATGATTTGCGTGAGTGGTTCTGCCCAAGAAGCCAGCAGATATCCCCTGCTTCATATTATTGATGCATTTCCCTTCACTCTTTACAGTAAATGAGACCAGTCTAAACATTGACGGAGTATTCAATTTAAGATAGTCCAAGGATTTTAAATCGGCTTTTCTTACCTGAGCAGGCTTCTTTTGAACCACTTGTTGAGGCTGAAAAGTCAAAAAAAGAAGGCGTGATGAGAAGCAAATTCACTGAAGTTTCCATTCAGCATAGGAAATAAAACACAGGCAAAATGTACATTCAGAACTGGAGTGATGAAGGCACCCAGCTCTTAGAGTCCTACACTTATCAAGACCTTGCTCTGATTACTCTGGCTGTAGAACATGTTAAATTTGTATAAGCAAAGTCCAAGTGAGGTCTAATTTATCATGCTGTGACTTCCAGCTCTTCTATGGCATGGCTGGATTTACTCTGCTGCATTACTTCATACAGCCTAGTTCTATAGTCAGATTTTGCTATCTCCATGAATACTATGCTGTGCACCCTCTTCCACACTTTAGTGTGTAAAGTGAGTTATGTGTAAGCCCTCCTTCCTGACCTGCTTGTACAGAGGTGAGGGACCTGTTCCCAAGGCAGACCAAAGCCAGCCTTGTTGCAGCCAGCAGCGAGGGTGAACGTGCCTCTGGCCCCAGGAAGCTCTGGTTTGGGAGCTCCAAATGGAAGAGGTGATGAGCCTCACAACCTTCTTGGGAAAGTTTTGGGGTGCCTATCACTGGGTTGGCTGGACATATGAGCAGGAGATACCAGGGCTGTGTCCACCAACCCATGTGGGAGCTGGTGGCACAGCCAGGGGCTGAGGAGCTGGCTGCTCCCACCTGGAAATGGGAAACAAGGTCCCAGACAAGCTGGGAATACCACTCAGGGCCCTTCATCCCACCTCCTTGCCTGGAGCCGCAGGGAGCCGCAGGGAGGAGGAGGAGTACCAGCTAGGGAGCTGACATCCACATACTTAAAATACACCACGGCTCTGGTGGTGTGACCCCTGTGGGTGCAAGGAGCTGTACGGAACAATACCATCACAGATAAGGGAAGAAATCCTGACACCCTGAGCACAAAAGGGCTTTTCTTATTTCAGTGGGGCAAAGCAGCCTTCCCCCACTCCACCCCCCAGGATCTTCTGTTTTCAAAGCATATGAATGGCACCCAATGATTTTTTCCTGCCCTTCCTTCCTGCCTGTTCCTAATCCCAGCCATGACTTTAGTTGGCAGAAGCCAACATGCTGTCCCTCCAGATAGCCAAAAAACTAATTTTCATGACAGTGTAGTAGGAAATAACTGGAATATTTCTGAATAAACAGTTTAGCGTAACTGGCCTTTCAGAGCAGTATTTCAGTGGGAAGGATCGATGAAAATGTAAATTAAATGTAACTGATTCAATTTAGACTGCCCACCACCAGCATCCCACTTTAACAAGAGATGCTTTGTTTATCTGCAGTCATTTTTCTAATTCAGTGGAATCTTATTGCTGTTTTATTTTTGTACCTCTGCCTCAGGCGCTAAGTTCTGCTTTCACATAAATAATTAACAAAAAAAAAAAAAAGAAAAAGAAGAAGAAAGCAATGATTGGGTCTGTCTTTAGACTTTGAGGCAGATCTTTTCCTTTTCCGTTAAGTTCCCTTGCAGTGGAGAAGCGATTAGCAAGGCACGCATTTTCCTGACACCTTTTCCAGGTGGGCTGCAAGCCCTGAACTGATTACAGGCATTTGCTGCTCTTGGACAAAGAAATTATTTGTTTCAAAGAAATCCTTCATAATTGCAGAATTCACGGGGCTCTTCAGTAATCTGAAAGGTTTTTCTGCTTTGTTTTCTTTTCCTTGCCTGCTGATTACACCTGTGTACGTTTACTCCCAAGCCCTATGAAATCTGCAGACATTCTTAGCTGCTGACTGCTTTCTCCTGTTCAGAAATCCCCATATATTTTTGGCTGTGTGCACTGCATTCATGTGACTCTCACACACTGTAGCTCAATGAAATCTTCTGAAAGAGCTGCCAACTCACCAAATTTTCCATGAATTAGGTCCTGACACTTCAATGAGAGGAAAGACAATGTCTGAAACAAGGCCAGCCCTGGCTTTGTGCCTAGTATGTGTCACCATAATTCTACCAGCTGCCCTTCCACACAGCACTTCATACTTTTCAGACCACCAGAAAGCCCCTGAATGCTTTCAGTGATAGCTGGGGCTTGAGCTGCCAGTGTGTTTTCCCAGCCTCTGGCACCCAGTGGCTCCAGATTGGACCTAGAAAGTTTTTGTGTGTATTTGTTTTGTTTTGTTTTTATTTTTATGAATGGCTTTTGCGGAGGACTCTGACTCAAGCACCACACTATACGGCCATTCATAAAAAGCAGAGGGAAAATATTGTACTTTGCCCAGTTGGAAACCGTCTGTGATACTGACCAAGGCTTGCAGGAATCCCAGTCATTTGAGACCTCTGCTATCTCAGTGCTGCATGTCAGGAGCTCCCTGACAGCGTTTGCTCACTGCCAGCCAGGCTTCCAGCAGAGCACAGCGCGTGTTCTTTCTCCCTTAAATGGAAGAAACACAGTTCTGAAGGACAAGGAGCTGGGTCAGCTCCTCGCCAGGATTAGTGGCACACTGCAACGCGTGGGAGCCGTGCTGCTCCTGCCAAACCCAGGGCGGTGGCTGTGATGGCTGTATCATGGCACACAGGGCACTGCTCATCCCCTGGACGAGCCCTGGACACAGGGCTACTGGGTATGGGCACTGGGTGCCAACCCAAGCCAGCAGAACCAGGGCACGCAGGAAGAATGGAACATTTCCTAAGCAGTCTCTTTGATTTCATTAACCGTTGTGCATGTGATGGCTTTGGAACCTTCTTGACACACTACAGATACAAACGCCTCTACTTGCTAAGCTTTGTGATCACTGAGTTAAGAGATCTTTTCAGGGCTTCAAAGGAGACACCTCTGATTGAAAAGGCTGTGGCAACTGCATGTCAACTAGCTGGGAAGAAAGGGAATCTGTCTTGGTTATGTATGGAAAAGGCTAGAACCACAAAAAGCCAAGGAGAAGGAGCTTTAAAGAGGTGCTTTGGAGCAAAATGAAGTTGTACATGAGACATGAGGGCTCTGAACTATTACATATCCCTCCAGGAGCCCACAGAATACAATGGCAGGTCTCCTGCACCGCCAGAGGCTGCCTCACTTATTTCAGTGATGATATGCATGCAGAGTTCTGTGAAACACACAGCTTCCACATCTTATTTTTATCCCAAGTCGGAAAAAAAAAGCTAGTTTGCACCGAATCCATATCAGCTGAAATTTCATATATACAAATCAAATTTTACATCAAATTTACATCAAATGCAAGTGCAAGGCAATCTTCAGTAACTTTCTCAAACCTGTATGAGGCAGAAAGACCAAGCAACAGTGCTGGAAAAATCCTGTGACCATGTCTTGTCTATATTGCAAGAAGAAATCCAAAATGCAGCAGAATGTTTTGCCACGTTTAAACTACTAAGTAAATGTGGGATAAGACAAATGCAGTAATTTTGAACTTTGTGATAAGATCCCTAACTCTGAAGAGAAAAAAATTAACCACCTAAAGAGCAACGTATACAAACCTTTTGGGAGTTTTAACACTGATTTTAAGATTTGAATGTTCAAAGCCCAATTGTTCTACAACATACTTTTCCCACACCTCCTCTGTCACCTCACCCCTCACTTTATTTTCAAATTCTGTCACTTTACTCTTTGTCAGTATCTTAGAAGCATCCTTACAGCCTAAACCTGGCTCAGGCATTCCCTGTTGGACAAAAATGATACCATCAGATAACTTCTCTCTCTGTTGGTAAATACAGACACCGGTCAAACAACTTCACTGCCTTCTTTATAAGAACAAAAGAGCAGCCTCGTGTGTCAAGCCCATATTCATCTTGTACCAGCAGTCAAAAGTTGTATCAAATTCAATTTGTCACACTTGCGTTTCTCTGGAGCGCTTCCCCTTACCCTGTGACTTTTCCTAGTGCTATAATAGGGACAGTTAAGGGTAAGCCTATGTCAGCTAAGATGAGCTACGCTGGAACACATTTTTAATGATCAGAGATAAAAACACTGGTCTGCATGCAAATCATTCACCGACTGCTGTGCCTGAAGCTCCAAGGGCAAGCTGCAGTCACGATGCTCCTAGACGTTGTGTTGGCATCTCTCTCTTTAAATGGAGTATTATGAAGATGTTTGACTGATGCTTCTTGGCAACTGTGACCTTTTGCACAGCTTGACACAGAGAAGACATTCACATGGAGGTAGCTCTGCTGGTGAGGCTAAATGACCGTGATGGAAACTAACATCCAGTTGGGATGACATTTATAGTGCTGACAGCTCAGTGTTGTGCGGAGATCATTAAAATAATTTCATAGGTCACCAAAACTCTTGTAGTTCTAAATTAAAAGATGAGTAAAACCATATTTAGACTTTCTGTCTACATATCCTAGAAAAATCAGGAAGTTCATATTATACCAGTTGAAACCAATGTAATCCAAAATAAATCATGTCTTCCAAGCAGTTCCATATGACAGCACCATAACTACTGCTCAGCCCTACAGCTTTAATTGGTTTGAGTCCAGCCTTTCCCTCACTCTTTGAGAATGCATTGAGATACAATGCTGGGACTGGAGGTCTACAAAGCCCATGAGAGCCTCTTCGCCTTTCGATGGCTTCATAGCCATCAGAAGAATTGCATAGGGCACTGTGCCTGTCACTCACTCCTCCAAGCCGGAATGCTCATGACTTGCTTTAGAAATTATCTTCCCTAAGAGAGGAGAGCAGAAAAGCTTTTTACAGCATCATTAGCAAGGAGAGGCTCCCCCTCTGCCCAAGCAGGAACTGCCTGTGTTTTGCAAGGACAGGTCATGAATTCTCCTGCCTACACCCCATGTTTGCAGCCAACTGGTAACTGGGGCGTCAGTGTACGCACACTGCTGTGGGTCGTTAGGATCTAACAGCAAAACCATCTGGCCCTAGGAGTTCAAAGGAGATTTCACAGTCCTCTGTGCAGTCTCATAAATGAGGCTAATAGTAATCTGTGGAGAATTTTGGCAAAATCTCTGGAACTTTTATTCTTTATTTTCTATCCTACTTGGCACTACTCAGAGTTCTTTATACCAAATACAAAGTCAGGTCATTCAAAAA